AGAAGGATATGGAGCTATTGAAACAAGTGCATAGGAGGGCCACAAAGTTGGAGGGGACTGGGGCACCTCCCCTGTCTGTGCTAAGAAAGCTGGAGCTGTTCAGCCTGGAGAAGAGAAGGGTGTGTGGAGACCTCATAGCAACCTTCTAGAATCTGAAAAGGCCTACAAGGAAGCCAGAGAAGAACTCTTCTTTAGGAACTGTAGTGATAGGACAAAAAGTAGCAGGTACAAACTGAAAGAGGGGAAATTTAAGTTAGATATTAGGAAGAAATTTTTTACTGTGAGTGTGGTTAGACACTGGAACAAGTTGGCCTTGGAGGTTGTGTATGCCCCACCCCACAGTGTTCAAGAACAGGTTGGATAAGGTCTTGTGCAGCCTGGTCTATTGAAAGGTGTCCTTGCCCATGGTAGGGCAGTTGGAACTAGATGATCTTTAAGGTCCATTTCAACCCCTTAAGATTCTGTGATTCTGTGATTCAGTGCTGTGTGGACTGGTGGAAGGGTCAAGTCCAGGACTGGGAAATCCCAAATTCCCTGTCAGGCAGTGATGCTAAAATCTTGGACACCTTGGAAAAGTTTGGCTCTCTTCACTTCTGGTGCAAAAATAACTTGCCCTTTGTGGGGTTGGAGTGGGTTTGCAGCTGTATGGTCCAGCCTGTCAAAGGGCTGAGGCATGACTGGGGTAAGGAGCCATCCCACAAGACAGAGGGAAGAGGGAGGGTGAGAAAAGGGATTGAGTTGGGATGATACCTTACAAATCTGCTATGTTTGCTGGTAGGAGATGGGAAAAGAGCTTCCCAAAGCTGTGGATAGGGAGAGGTTGTCTGTGTAAGTCTGTACCTGCCCTTCCCCAGCTGATGAGCTCCTTCCCCTGTGTGCCAGCAGCACTAACACACTGCTTGGCCAGGGCTTCAGCAAAATGGTCATGTTACTTTTTTATTATGTGACCTGCCAGCAGCACAGACCTGGCTGTCCATCCAAACCACTCATGCTCTGGCTGGGGATGCAGGGGACAGAGCAAGCACAGAGCAGGACCTTCTCCAAGCCCCAGGGATGGATGTGCTGCTGGGCAACTGTCACAGGCACCACTGTGTCTGTCCCTTCTGGACAGTCTCTTCACTCAAGGGGTGTGGAACACACCTTTCTTCTGAATTCCCCCAAACTAGAAGGGAATAAATTACAATTTTTCACCTTTTGCTGGTGTAACTATGGGAAATGGCAGATTTCTTGTGTTCTGGCCTGTCCTTCCTTGCTTGTCCCACAGTGTCACACTCGCTTAGCAGCTTTGCTTTTAAGATGCATCAGAGAGCATCAGACAATTCAGTACACATCAGATGGAAGAATAAAGGTTTAAATGTGTGGCAAAATCCATAGGGAAGAAAAGTGACAGGAGAATTATACAAATTACATCCTAGTTTTGGGTTTTTGTGGAATAAAGATTCAAATGTGTGGCAGAATTCATGAGGAGGAAAAGTGACAGGAGAATTCTACAAATTACATCCTAGTTTTGGGTTTTACACTTTTTTTTTTATCCTGCAAAAAACAGCAATGATCTGTGTCACTGTACACATTTGTAACTTCTTTTGCATAAAAAAAATCTTAATGCACAAATGTACCAAAGCTATTATAAAATATATGGCTCGGGATATGCATATGTAGGTTCTTAGATTTATCTGCTAGAGAAAGAAGGGCCCACATTGCTATGCTATCACCTAAAGTATAAAAATAGAAGATTTTAATTAATTTAATATTATAATGCTGTATTTTGAGTTCTGACATTCAAGGAACCCTTTATCTCTCTTGTTCTTCTGTCTTTTGCTGACAAGCATATTAACTCTGCATATCTAGAAAATAATGAAATCCTGCATAATGAAATCCTGATGCTGGATTCTCTCTCCCTCAAAGTGCAAGTTTGCTGGTTTAGCCCATGATTCAATATGTGCCTCTGAAATGGCTTGGTTATTCTGCTGGCTCTGTTCCAGGGTTTGCAGGGTTTACACTGGTTTATTTCTGTAAAAGGGTTATAGAGACAGCCTAAGGTGGAGAGAGCTGACGTTAATACCAATAAAACAGAGTGAGTGGTAAACGTTCAACTTTCCTAAAATTTCAATTTTGTAGGAATCATGGGCCTGGTGATGTCTCTGAATTACCAAAGTCCTTCAAAAAATGTTGATAATTATCATACTGCTTTAGAGAAAGAACATGTTTATTTATAATGCCTTTATGTGTACCAAAAGAGACTAAGCACAGTGAAAGGTTTCCTGAAACTCAGGTATGAAATTCTCATTCGTTACATTTTGGAGGTAGAGGGAGGATAATCAATCACATGCTGCTCTATATAGATCTCTAGTGTGGGTTCACAGTGCCCATGTCCTTTTCTTAAAGCATTTTCCTTCCAGTTTCAGAAATCAGTAGAAAAGCTGGTCCTGTTTGGTTCCGGGGTCACTCAGTACTATAGAAAACAGCGTCTCCATTCATTCTCCTTTTTTCAAACTTCTTGTGAAAATGGATTAATTGTGGTAATAATGGTTATGCAGATCTGTTGCTTAAGAGGAGATGTACTTTGTCTCATGAAAAAGTTCATGTCTCATCCTGGTAGGCACTGAATGCAGCTCCCAACAGACCCATTTTCCTCACTTACTGCAGAACTAGGTTGTGTTCTTTAAAATCTTTAGTCCTCTGCAGGTTAGTGGTGATTTTCTTTTTCTCCACAGCTGGTCTTCTTCAAGTCCAACAGGAAATCTCAAAATTTTATTTAAATGCCTTTTCCCGTTTATAATAGAACTTGGGATTCAAAAGAATTAATTCAACATGCTCTCCAAATGGCATTTAACTTCCCAAGAAAATACAGTAACAGGAAGTTTTGTTTTAATTAGTACGTGAGCTGTGCAGCAGCTAATGTATTCCACCTCTTCACTGTTGTAAAAGGGGCAGATTTCTTAGTAGCTTGAAGCGAGCAAAGAAGAGGGACTGTGTTCTGCTCTCCATATGCTGCAAAGCCCCATTTGCAGGGAAGGTGTGAATGGGAGGTGATTTGTAGCTGCCTGCCACTTGTAAAGAACAAACTTCTGTTGTTCTCCAGGCTGGAGAGAAACCTGGCTCCCCTCTATAACCCTAGAGCAGTGCAACAGGTAGACAGCAGCCTTCAGAGATTTTGATTTCAACAATAAGGGATTGTTAAGAAAACTTATTTTTTCATTTACTTTTAAAAAAGAGGTACTGGATGTCAGGCTAGAAATAGATATCCCTGGTTTCCTCAGACGTGATATTTCTTGATGGAAAGTCCCAAACATTTTAGAGAAACTGAAAGTACACCTCTTTTCCCTCTGTCAGGCCAGCCATAAACAGCCAGACTGGATCTTCACCTCCCACCTCCCTGGGGTCCCAAACTGGGTCCAGCTCAGCACTCTGATGTGGAGACTGGAAATGGACATTTGCCCTCTGTGCCCCAGTGCTCCTCAAGATACTCTTCTGGTTTTGCTGGAGGGCACAGCTGAACACAGCCCAGTGCACCAGTGCTCCCACACCTCTCCTCAACAAACAATGTTCAGATAAATGAAAGCTCAGTGTCTGATCACCATCTTGTAGGAATATTTTCAGAGCTCTATAAGTGCTATAAGTGTATGTGTGTGTATGTGTTTATGTTGTATATAGTTTTTACTGTGTGGAACGCAAAGGTATGAAAGTAATTCAGATTCACTGTCAAACAGTCCCTGTACATTTTGAACTTACCACCTATTTATTGATTTTTTTAAGTACATAAGGATTCTGTCCTTTGTCAGTTGCAATGAAAGTTTGTTCAGGGATCTCCTACCCAAAAATCCAGGTGCCTTCTTGACAGTCTGGATGCCTGTTTTCAGTGCCATGCTCCAAGGGTGCAGCACAGTGCAAGCTGGACCTGCAGGGAGACCTTGTCCTCTCAGCAGGATTCTCCATAGACATAGAGGTTTGCTAGTACAGGTTTGTTTCTGAGCTGGAGGATGGACACAGAAGCCACTACAGCAGCATCCTTGGAGAAGACAATAGCAATAAGCAGGAATGAGTGTGTTGGTGCAAGCGCGTGGCAAGGAGGGTTATTTTGTGATGGACTTTCTGCCACAGGGATGAAGAGTCAGGCAAGGGAGGCAGGCAGAGATGCCAAGAGGAGTAGAACTGTGTTGACAAGGCAATAAAAATATCAGGTGACCACTTACCTCTCACTTGGCTAATTCTCATCGTCAGTGGAGCCGAGAAAGCATTTCTTTCAATGCTTCTGTGCAATATGGGATGTATGGTGAGGGGGATGGAGCCAAGACTAAGACATTCTTTTTTCCAAGGCCCTGTCTGGCCACCCAGAGGGACATTTTAGGTGGTCCTGTAGTTGGAATTTAGCCTTAGTGGAAGATAAGCATAATACCTTAGCAGAAGTGCATTGGAAAAATACATTAAAGGTAATAACTCTGCCACTTTGAGGGACAGGAACTTTCTTTTGTGATAATGCAGCTCTTTCCAATGGCTGGCTGACCTTTCTGCTGTATTTAGCACAGACTCTTCCATTTTTCTTGTCACAAAAGTAGGAAATGTATTTGGAGTGAGCAGGCTGCTGGCCAGGGAGGAGCAGTTCCCTTCTTCATGGCTGTTTACCCAAGCAGACCAGCAAAGCAGTTGGCTCCTTCCCACATAACAGGGGCCTCTTCTTTGAGGTCTGCTAGCATGGAACCTTCTGTTTGCTATGAAGAGCAAAACGTACTCTGTGCTGATGAAAATGCTGTGTGATTGAGGTTACAAAGAGAGGCACTCTTCACTTTGCCTGCTGTCCAGAATTCTTGCCTTCTTGCTTGTCTGCAAAGACTTGTGCCATGATGAGATCATGCTGACTAACAAGCCCCTCTGAGTTTCTAGAATATAATATGACGAAAATAATTTAAAATTTCCTCCCAGTTACCCTTTTCCTACTGTTTATTATCAAAACACATGAACATTTTTCACTCACTAAGCTGTGTGTTTCTTTATTTCTTTAGGCTGTGACTCATCACTGAACCTGACATCTCAGAAAGCCACAGATGCAGTGGACGGCATCTTCCGGTCCCTCAGGGATATTGCCAGAGTCAGAATGCACATGAAACAGTTTCATTCCATACATAATCCAGGCAACAACACCCACCAGGCAAGTGTAGCTTTCTTTTCCTTGTGATTGTTATTTCTCTAGCCTGCTGTCAAAATTACAGCACTAATTTTGTGGATGTGCTAATCCTATACACATTCTGCCCATGAAGATACTTAAGCATAGATTTTATAATTGACCTAGTCATCAAAAAATTCCTCAAGTCCTTTGTCCAGACTTGGGCATATGCATATCAGTGTCAGCTCTGAGGAAGAAATTTGGGCTTTGCTCTGCAGCACTGTGGAATGACATGAATGCCTATGAAAGACAGGGCTAGGTCAAGATGGCTCTCGACTTAGAGTGCTCAAGGCAGAGTGAAGCAGGATGTCTGCATCCATACTGCAGCTATATTCTTGTTGTATTTCCTTTCCTGTCCCTGTAAGCATGAGGGACAAACCTGTTTGTAAATAGGTCACAAAAGCAGCTTCTGTTTCTGAAATAGCAACACATGATCTACAATACTGCTTTAGGTCATTGGGACTAATAAGACAGTGGTTTTCCTTCTCTCTGTCTCTCCTGAAGACCTTTCCCAGTTAAAAATAGAGTTCTACAGCAGAAAGCAGTGATTTAGACAGAGATCCTAAAATGTGATTCTAGCCTTGAGCCATAAAAAAATCCTTCCAAACTCCTAATGGTGCTGTAGACCAGCAAAGGGATGTAGTTCAAATTAAGCATTGCTTTGTAAGAACATGAACGTTACAAAATGTCACTGGAAATCTAAGGTGAAGGAAACCTGTTCCTGAAGTCTTCCAGCAGTTTGGACCAGTCTGGTGTCCAATATGGGGAAAATTGTTAAACATTTAATACAGTTCAGTGCAGGGGCAGTGAGATGATAAAAAAAAACTTCCTGGAAGTGTAATTAGCATCAGTATGTCCTTTGGATGTAATCCACATTGCTTAGGAATAAGTGCTGGAACGTAGCAAGGGATATGTAACACCTTGCAGCCCCTTAATCTAACCATGCAAGGGATCTAGTTGCTTGAGTAGGACAACCTTCTGCTGAGGGAAGTCCAGGAGATTTACAATAGTAGAAATAAGCAGGCAGTATGTGATTGTCCATGATACTTACAGCTCTCTGGAAACAGGCCTCTCTTTTGACTGGCAGGTGTTGTGTGCAATCAGTTCAGCTCCTCAGAAGAAGTCCTGTGAGCACATTCCTTGCCGAACCTTCTTAGTGCTATGGGAGTGGGTTTAGCCTCTACATACTTTTTCACTTTGTCTGTTGAAAGCTGGGAAGCCTCCATTTCTTCTTAAAGACTCATAAAAAGGTTTCTATGGATAAGTACCCGGGAATTGATTGGCCTCTTAGAAGGACTTTTTGTAGCATTTTAGTTTGTATGTCTTACCTAAAATGAGAAATGTTTTCATCACGTTATCAAACTAGTTCATATAGTGACCATGCAAGAACAGAATTTTGTCTGTTATTGGAACTATTTTCATCTTAATCTAGGTATATTTCTGCCTTCCTCCTTCCCATCCTCCGTTCCTTCTTCTATCCTTCACTCTCCTGTCCTCATTCTCTCTCTTCGTCTCTCTGTTTCTCTCTCTTCTCCCCTTTATAATCTTGTATGGGGTGTGTCCCATAACTATTGAGGTTTTTAATAGCTATTTTGAACAAATTTGTGCATGCCAAAATTTAAAGTTGATCAAAGTTTCATTATATGTGATAGAAACCAATACAGGTTTTGGGGGTTGTACAAAAAAAAACCCCTACAAATATATTAGATTAATTTCAAGTCATAAAAGACTTTTAAAAATACTTGAAACCACTATACTTAAAAAAGGTAGGGGATCATACTATCTGTATTTTAGTATCTGTGTAGTCTGACTGGGTTATTTTGAAGGGCACTGAGTTTTGGTGCTAAAAATTCACACATGCAAAATCATAGCTAATTTTTTATGTCTTTTGAGTAGATAGTTTTGTCTGAATGATATTTTTCATTTCAGTCAGATGATGTTTTTCCTTTAATTTTGTGGAGTAAGCCTCTCTGTTAAACTGTGATTTGATCTCTGCTCCAAAAATATTTCATTCCCAATGTTTTTCTGTTCCTCATCTATGAAGATATTAAACAGATTTTTATAAATAGGACTTCATGCCTGCATGTGTATTTTCAAACAGTTGTTTATTGCGTGACTAGATTTGACAGAAATCTTGACATGTTCTAAAAGATCCTGCAGCTCATGTCTGCTGTAATTTGCTTTGTTGGCTCAACTAAAAATTATGCACATGTTGTGAGAAGAACTAGATGAGTTGTATAAATCTTTGTTGACAGCATTGTATTAAAAAACTGTAAGCTTTGTTTCTCACTCTAAAGTGTTGGATGAAAAGCATTTCTTTAATGACTCCAGAAAATTTTCATTTCAAGCCAAGTGGTTTGTGTTTTATTTTCCATCCATTTTTACTGTTTACTTGCAATATGTCTCTTGTAGATATCATCTTTGCCAAATTAATGATGTTGCACTTGATTCCCCTAAGTGATCTAAGGGATGATGTATACCTGGGGTAGTCCCAAAACCAAATAAGTGTGCTAATTTTAAAGCTGCTTATTTTCTGAGATGGTTGCACTTTCTGAAATGATCGTGGTTCTGTTGCAGTTTGGGCAAAGTTAAAAGCAGTGAAACAAAGTTCCATCTGTAAGCCAAGTAAGCTTGAATTTACATTAAAGATCTTTCCATTGGTTCCTAAAAGTTTTATCTTAAAATTTTTTTCAGCATGTCAGAGTTGTTTAAACCTTGGTATTGGAATGTGGAGATTATTAGGCGACTATTTCATTTTCAGCCAGGGTTTGTGGATCCTTAAGAGGATATAAGGTTGATCCTTTGGGAGTAGACCTTTCAGTATGATGACCATTTGTACCTTTACATTTTCCACTTCTCCTAGCCCCTAACTTTTCTGAAGTTCTGACATTCATGGTAATGGTGGGATTGTTTGGCCTGTTTTTCAAAAGTCTTCCACATGTGGAAGTATTATGTGGAGTCCCATGGCCATAGAAGCTAAAGGACTAACAGGGACTCCTTAGCTGTGCTCTCCCATGAGGGACAAACAGGCAGGTTGGCCTCTTCCCTTCCCTGCTGGTATCCAGACTTCAGTGGGGACATGACACTTGGAATAAGGCAGGAGTGGTCAATTTTAAAAAAAAGTCCCTGTTTAGGTGTTTGTAAAATCATTAGAAAGGGAATGAGATCTGAGTGCACAATGGGCAACAGTCTCATCTGTGTGGTTATCCATTTCTGTATTACCTCCAAAAAGATTCTAGAGAAAGTAAAAGTCTCCCCTTTCTTCCTTGTCTCTCTTTACTGATGCAATACACGTGGGGCAGAGTAAATGTGTGGCTCTCTTCCAATATTTTCAGTCTGATGTTGTGCTGGTGCACACCATCTGCAGTCAAGGTCACAACCTCTCTGAATGCTTTCATTTCTGGGATAATTATTTCTGTTACCTTTAATATAAATAAAATATTTGGAATCATGGTTGCACTGAGTCTGAACATGTTTACTCACAATGCATTGTTCTCTTTGTGCAGGCTTCTTACAAACCTCTGCTGAAACAGGTGGTGGAAGAGGTCTGTAATCCCGATCGGCCCGATCCTGTTGATATTGAGCATATTTCATCGGGCCTCACTGATCTCCTTAAAACTGGATTCAGCATGTTCATGAAGGTAAACCAGCCTTCCCAAGTTCATCTGTAAGATTTTCCTTAGGTCAGAGCATCATGCAGCAGTAGCTGATTTTATTATACTGTTCAGCACAATTTAAGGGGAGGTTAGGAGAGTTAAATCCTTCAAGGGGGGCTGGAAATAGCTTGAGGCATCACACTGCAGGTACCGTGCAGACAGGTAGCACCTGCTGAACAAAACAAGAGGAATGGAGCAGACTGAAGTCTAAATAAGGGTCATGGTAGACACCAAAATAAGGATGATATATCTGGGAAGAGGCAATGTAGCTTTGCTAAAGGGAAGTCCTAACTCACATAGCCTTTAGAGCTCTTTAGAGACACCCAACAAACAAACTGAAAAGTGAGTGTCAGTTCCTGTTACCTAGCTAGCATTCCAAAAGGCATTCCACATGGCATCTCATCAAAGGACTTCAAGGACACTCAGCAGTCTTGAGATAGAAGTAAGTATGAACAATCTGGTCTCACAGGGGATGAAGGAAGAGCTCCGATTTCAATACCTTTTCTATAATTTGATATGGTTCAACTTGTACCATAGGAAGAGGAGGGAAGCCTGTGAGTTAGAAATTTCTTTGTGGATCCTCTTAGCATATTTTAAGACAGTCATTCTACAAGAATTTACTCTGCCTTACAAATTATCCCATGCTAAGTGTCCACTAAATATTTACAGAGTTGAAGTGTGGAGTAGCCCACATGTTGTACGGTCAGCCTTGTTTTACTGCATGTCCTGAATTCTCCTTTGAAAACAACCCTAAACTCACACCAAACCACATCAATACTATGGTTATGAGTACAGTACATTTCAGTATTGTGCCCGCTGTTTTCCTTTCAGTTTTACCACCACCACCCCTCCGCATGGAAGAGACATCAGCAAACTGTGTGAGGCAGTGGACACAAGTTGCAGCAAGGGAAATTCTAGTTGAATAAAGGAAAAAAATTCTAACAGGAATAGCGATTAAGTCCAGAGAATTCTCCCTTTCTGAGATACTCAGATGTTGGTCAAACAAGCCCTGAGCAACCTGATAAAATTTTGAAGTTGGCCCTGCTTTGGGCAAGGAGGTTAACTACATAAGCTACAAAGACTCCTTCCGATTTCATTCTGTGATTCTATGGTAACAGAAAAGAAAAAAAAAAATTCTCATTTGTGAAAATTCCTGCTAGACCTGCGTTTAAAGTCAGGTGACAAAAATAGTTTTGACTGTTGTGTTAGTACTATTCTAAAACCCAGTATCAGAATAACAGTTATTTTTCTGTTATTTCAAAGAAAGCTAGTATTGAAGCACATAATCAGTAAGCCTAAAATCCAGTGCTTGTTTTCAAGAATCTGTTTCTACAGTTGAAATGGATTTCCAAAATACATTCAGTTAGGTTCCTAAACTGAAATTCTCAGTTCTTCAAAGCTAATGATAAAGTCCTAAGACAACAGAGGATACGTATAGAAAAAGTGACCCAATGTATCTCCATTCTTGGTCAGAACTGAAAAATTTATGCCAACACTCCAAAAATAGTAGAGTTAAAAACACATTCCACTATGAAACAAAGTAACCAGGCTGTTACATCCAAGTAACTTTTTAATTTTTGGTTTCATTTACCAGTAATTTTCACAATTCTATTGACTTCATTGTATTTGTTTATTGCAGAATTTTTAAGCACGAATATAGGGAAAAAATAAGAATATAAGGACTTCAGAAGGCCTAAGAGGTTAGATGGAGACATTGACACCTTTAACTAGTTTGAGGACTAATCTGTCCTTTCACAAGGGGTGTGTGTGTGTGTGAGAGAGAGAGAGAATGCATGAAAGAGAGACATAAGTAGTTATGGCAATATGTACCTGTAAGTGCATCTTTCCTAAGAAGACAAATATCCTACGATAAGGAATATTTGAGAGGTGAGCAAGTGAACTTTGTGTAGGATAAACATTTCATAGGCATCATCACATACTTCACAAATATGTGTCCATGCTTGTTCCCTTAGTTGTAGCCTGGCTTGCTGGCATGTGCTCAGTTGTTGCACAAATGAGTGTCTGACCAGCCTGTATTTCTGACACAATCACACCATCAGCACAGTAATTATTTTGTGAGCTTCCTTATTTTTGTTTCTTTCTCAATGCCTGAATATAAATGCCAACTGACATAAAAATACTTTGGTGATTGCCTCAGGTGTGTCAGTTCAGGACAGACTTTTAAAGATACCTCTCATCCAGAAGTTGTTTGTGTGGCAGATAGGTTTGTTTTGAAGCTAAAGGATGGTGAAGGGACAAAGCCCCCCTGCCTCAAGGACTCCTCTTTTGACTACTGCTCTGGATGACGTGTTTTCACACGTGATCATCTGAGCTTGCTTTCATTGATACCAAATGCCCTACGCAGCAGCCTAGTTTCTGGTGATTGACATGTCTTCCTTTTTCCAGTTATTGAGCTAAATTAATTAGTTTATGTTTGGTCACAAATACTGGAATGATCAGCCCTGTTGTTTTTGTTGGGTGAGTTACAGAACAATAATAATTTTTTTGATTACTTTCCTCAGAAAAGAACGGTGTTTTGTGAGCTGCCATGAGCCATGAAAAAAACCCTGTCCTCTAATGCCTTCCTCTTTCAGAGTTTATTGACCCTGTTTCAGAGTTTTACTGACCACTGCTACCCTGTTTTACCACCTCGACCTCCTCTCTCTCTTCTCCACACAGAGACGTGCACCAGCAAAGAGCCCTCTGACCACCAGCATCCTGAGCATACCCTGTGTGGTGAGCTCAGAGCTGGGGAGAAGGCCCTGATGTCCAAATGGGACACTCTGATGGCTCAGGGCACCATTCCCCTTCCTTCGGGCTCTTTCTTGTCAACATAATGCTTTTGAAGGGTTTTTGGTTAATCTTTTTAATTGCCTGAGACATCTCTCCGAATTCTTTTTAACATATGGCATTTTGAATTGAAAGCGAATTTCACTCGGGGACTTTGACAAAATTCAGATTTCATAGTAAATTCAGAGGCAGCGGAAATGTCCCAAATCAACTGAACTGTAGAAGACACACATTGCTTTTGTTGCAATCCATTTCAGTTCTTCTCTGTCACTGGAATGAGTTGTGTTCAGCTACATGCAGCCAGTTCCTTCAAAAGAGAGTCTTGGGTGGTTGTATTATCAAACAAGAAAAAAAAATTTGGCAGAAACTTGCATTCTTAACACAGCCAAATGTTTTGTACCCAAAGTACTGTCCTCCTTCAAAACACTTACACATAGCATAACAAAATTACAAATTCCAAGACCCGTTTCATTTCTGGTTTAATTTAATTTAGAGTTTGCATGCCTAATAGTATTTTTAATACGCATTTCTGGAATTTGTGGTTTGAACTTTAGTCTTCTGAAAAATAGTAAGTTTTATATAGGCTCCATGTGTTTGGATCTAGGTTTATTTTGACTGAAGGAAATGATTTGTCAAGACATTTTCTCTTCAGCATTACCCTGAAAGCTCATTCTTACACTGTGTGTCTTTTCAGTGTGCCCACTGTTCTTCATGCATGTGTATTATAAGTTTGTTTTTGCTAGGAAAGATTCTAAGAATCATAGGATCCCAGAATCACAGAATATTCTGAGTTGGAAGGAACCCACAAGGATTATCGAGTGCAGCTCCTGGCCCTGCACAACACCATTCCCAAGTATCACACCATGTGCCCAAGGGTATTATCCAGGTAGGCATGGTGTTGTGACCACTTTCCTGGCAAGCCTCATCCATTGCCCTGGAATTGTGGTATGTATGCTATCAACAAAGTCAGACAGTAAGAGAATAAACACCCAGTGTGCAAACACTCAGCTCACTAACACATCTGTCTAAGGCTTTTGTACTAGTCTCAAAGGCTCAGCAATGCAAGAGCTCCTTGCCTGGGGAGCATCATTAAATAGGGAACCAGCCCCATGTAATGAAAGCCAGCTAGCCTGGAGAGAGAACATGGCATCTCCCTGTGCTGCTTCAGAAGGAAGAGTCCTTCCTGAAGGTTACCAGGCAGAAAGCCTGACAGACCTGCAGGATGAAAAAGTGCCAAAAGACTAAATATAGGAAAGCCACAATAAGGAAAAGAAGAGGAGCTGTACCCCCAGGATCTGGAGCCACAAGGATCAAAGCAAGCTGCTGTGGTGGGGAAAGCCAAGGAGCCTTGCTCTGCCCAAACATGGGTTGACACCAATTTCATTCTGTGAGTGAATGCTGTTAAAAGCCTACGCTCACACAAGGGAGGAGGCAGAGAGTCTAAAAAGGAATTAAACTATTTTGTCACTTCAGAACTGAACATTTGGAGTGTTTCGTGCTTCAGGGTGGTGTGACAAGAGCAATTGCATGGGCTCTGTTGACATCCCTCCCAAAGAATGGATCAAGGTAGTGTCAGGGGAGTGTGTTTTCTCAAGAAGGAAACAGTTTGCTAGGAAACAGCAAAGTTATCAAACTTCTAGAAGTGGTGAAGAGGAAACTGATGAAAAGCATCACCCTCACATTTAAAATTAAAATACATGTTTAAAATTAATTAAAGCATCACCTTCACATTTAAAATTAATTATGAGGTCTTAACTGAAGTAGGATATTTGTGCCATTTTAAAGATAATTGAGGAAAAATGAAACAAGTATTTTCTTGGATCTAAAGGTTCTCTATATTTGTTACAAGGTAGTCATAGAAGCATTGAAAACTCTGAATTGAAACAAGTTGTAAACTGATTTTTTGCTATAATGCACCTTATTTATTTTTATTGGATGAATTGTAAAAGATTATTCACTGCACCAGTGAAAACACATTGCATAAAGTTCTTTTCCATGTTGACCCCAGGCAGGGATTCTAGCATGTTTGGGCTGGACTCCTTGATTCTACTGGATAGCAATTTACCCTTCATTCCCTAAAGTCTCCTGTGTATCCAAAGTAAACATCCACCCAAGTACTCTCCTCCCTCTCTGGGAAAGGGAGGAAACTAATGAAGAAGGAATGGAGGAAGAAACCCTGAGACTTCAGGAGAAACTCCCACAGATTTCAAGGGAATCCATGGAGATTCTATTTCCCTGGAAACAGTTAATTAGTTCTAACTGGGCATCATCCCCATTGATATCCCTCTCAGCTACTACAGCATTCCATGAGTAGTTCTTTCTGAAGTTCCTCTTTGGTCTTCTTCTAGCCACTTAGGGAGCTGATGACTGATAATCCATAGGTTTGGACCTGGATGAAGCAAGTACAAATAATGCTTTTCTTCATTTTACAGGTGAATCGCCCTCACCCTGGTGATCATCCTCTTCTGATCATCTTTATGGTTGGAGGAGTGTCAGTCTCCGAGGTCAAAATGGTGAAGGATTTGGTAGCAACACGCAAACCTGGTACCCAGGTACAAACAGCTCTAAGCATACAGTTCCTGTCCAAACAAAAACTAAGAAAATTCATCAAATAGTGCTCCCTATAGCACTGGTACCAAAACTACAGAAAGCCACAGCCATATGGGCAGGAATGATGCCAGGATTTTGCTGTGAAACATCTGTAGGCAGCAAGTATTCAGGCACCTAGGGTCTGTTTTTTCACATTACAGTCAGCAACAAAAGTTCAAACTCAGGTTGGAGAGTTCAGAACAGACTGGCATTAATTTGAAGTAGCTTTCATTGTGTCTCAAGAGATTAGTTTCTTTGTATTCTTTATAAACAGAAACATTTGCTGTCCAAAAAGCTACCGGGTCTCTGGCTGTCCATCTACAGGACGTAGTGCAGGGATGCTCAGGAGCCTGGGTACCTCCTAGTGACTTACCAGTGGTAATCCTGCAGGCACACCAATTAGCAATGGTGAGGAGCAAAATAAATTAACCTGGATACAGCTGTACTCCTCCTGTGTCTGGCCAGATATCTCTGATAGATAGCTGACCACTAAACCTTTAAGTAGCGTGAAGCAGGTTATGTGGAGAAAGCCCCAAGTCTCTGCATCCCTTGAATGTGCTGTTAGACTCCTGGAAGGAGGATGGTTCCCACAGTGAGGTTTTTTTAATGTCCATGTGGCTGACCTTTGCCTCATGCACTCTCTGGCAGCAGAACTTGACTACAGTGACTGTCGTCTGAATGGAGGAGGGAGAGGAGGAGGATGGGTGAGCTCTGGTGGTACCTGAGATGTTAAAAATCATTAATTGTGGAGGACCAAACAGGTATCTGTTGAGTACTGCAGATACATAGGGTAATACAAAAACTCTGAAGTGCTGTGTAACCAGCTGCATCATAGACATAACTCTGTTTTCCAGGGTGGCTTGTAAACATCTTGTTTTCAAGTCCTGTGGAAGGTGGTTTTAATTATCGAGAAATCATTAGCAAAATGGAGCCAACCACAGGCAAAGCAGCCCCTCAGTTTGACATGTGTTTCCATGTTTCAGTTGTCTTTGCAAGGCAGTCTCAAGCAGTATTTTGTAAGATGGAGTACCATTTTAGCAGGTTTGTTTTTAATCTGATAACACATTTCTTCCCCACTAGTCTACTGCTAATCTCCTCAAAATAGCAAATTATATTTTCCTTCGTGAAGGGGAATCGAGTTGTGACACACTGATGGACAGGTTAATCCACACACAAAATGTATTAAGACACCCTGAAAGATAAACAGAGGGTTAACATCTGAGTTGGTTGAGAACTATGCAGGGAGATTTTCAACTAGCTTTCTAGAGGGACTTAAGGCTTGACAGTGGTGACATGGGATCTGGTGTTGCTTTGCTTTGGCTTAACCCTCGCAGCAGGTCACCCTCTGAGGCAGATTCCTAAAGCATTTTAAGCTGTTACTGCATCTTGCCCTTTATCCAAATGTGCTGTGTTAGAGGTGAAACAACTTTTGGGGGAGAGCTGGGAGGAGGAAGAGAAAGAAGAAACTAAGCACTTGTGCAAATCTCTCACCAAAAAAAAGTTTGTACGTTTGTTGGCTTTACCTGGATTTCTGCACTATAGCTGTGAATATGCACCACCTGTTTAGGATTATTCTCTTTCAAAAAGCCAGGCATTTATCTAAGTCAAGCCAGGATTTAACAGAGCCTTTTTGTGCTGTTCAGGCAGTCAGGTTCAGGCTTCAGGAAAACACTGGCCTTCCAAGTCCATTCCAGTCAAACAAAGCACTAACATTTACACTGATTACTGGCTCTTGAAAAATGTGTGAGTACAAAAATTGAGTAAAGTAATTGAAGAAAAACTAACAGGGTGCACTGATTACTTTAGCAACTGTTGAAGCAAATGACGTTTAAATGTGGAATAAGAGACACATGTTTCCATCCACAGAACTGCTCTGCATCTGAATCTGAATGACAATTTTATTTCTCATGGAGAAGCACAAAGAAATACAGTGTTTCCTATGCACCATTTCGTTTTGGATGGTAGTAAATAGCTCCCCATAACTAGTGAGAAGTATCCTATTTTTGAAGGAAGAAATTACTTCTCTTTTTCTGCTTTAATCAGGAGAGTAATAAAGAGGAAAGAGCATGAGAGAATGTTTCCCCCTCACTTCTCCCAACATTACAACCATCTATGTGGCTGTGTCTGAGGCCAGCAGACTGATAAACTTTCAGATGCACCTTTAGATGTTAGCTGCATCCTTTCCTGCCTTCAGCTGTGCTGGGGAAAACTTCCAACTGGAGTTCAGTGGGTGAGGATGGGAGCTCCTGGCTCTTCCACCTTGGCTGCCACTAGGAGGGGATAGCCCTTCAGGTGAAGTGTGAAAGACAGGCATGGAGTACGGAACAAGGAGTACGGAACAAGGAGAAGGGCTGCAAAGGACTGGCCTGAACACAGCTGCCTGGATGTGTTGAGATGGACATTACTTATCTGGGCAATTCTTCTCTTCTCTGTAAAAATGAAAGAACAAACATTCTCATTTATCCCCCTCAACAAGCCCTTGGAGATACTGGAGGGAAAGGAGAGAAGTTCTGCTGTATTCAAGCATCTTTTCTGAGACATTAAAGTTGCAGATCTCATTTTTCGCTCTGGGCTTGCTATTTGTTGCACAAATCCCCTGAGGATTCAGTGGTAAGACTCCAAGAAGAAATTGCTTTTATCTGTCAGTGGCTATTGTTGATTTGCTTGGCTTGTACACTAAAAAACTTTAGTAACGTGTCCCTTCATGTTTTTCAGAGTTAAGCTGCATGATAACAAGATGAGCACATACTGTACTGTAGTCTGATTCTCATGTAACATAAGTAAGACAGTGTCAGGCTTTGGCATCTGCAAGTTACAGAGACTTTTTCAGGCTTATGAAGGAAGAGATAATCAGTGTCAGTTTGCTGCAGGTTGTGTGGGAGGATAAAGGAAGAGAAGTGAGGGGGAGGCTATCACCAATACAGAAGGGGTCTTTTTCAGTATCTGAAGTGAAAAGATGAAAGAAAGAGCAACAAAAATAGTTGAAATGCAGTATTATCACATACTTAAGCTACATGATGGACAACACGAGGCATTTTATAGCTGCTTCAGTAGATGGACACACATACTCTGTTGTTGATGTTTGTGCTTCCTCTCCTTCGTTTTGTGCTGAAGAAGCAAATTCATTTTCAAGTGAGCTAGAACGACTAAATCTGCCCCCAGATCTCTGCCTGCAATCCTGACCCTACGGACACTGCTAAACTTGGGGCTCAGTAAGAGCAGTGTCCTATGATTTCGACCCTGGCTTAACTCCTCACAGCAAGAGTGTACACATTCATTCATGGATGATAGCTTTGCTCTGCAGAGAAGACTTCACACCACATAATTATATACTGTTTTTCACTCTGGGAAAACCGGTACCTGCACCTAACAGGATGTGTATCATGGCTGTAGTGAGCAATGGTTTCATTCGTCAGTCTGGGATTAAAACCTGGAAGAAACCAGTGCTCAAGGTTGAGCCTGATGTGCAGAACAGCCTGTGCCTGGTCTGAAAAGATGGTTTGGAACCACGAGTCTGGCTTCCTGCAGCAGGCACTTCTGTGGTGCTCACCTTACCTTCAACTGAGAGGAAACAGGCATCACTCAAATCTGTGCTATAGGAGAGAAAACCACGCCTTCATCAGCTGGTGCCTCACAGTAAATGCACTGGCAGACACAATAAATCACAAGGTAAAATGTGGGTAGAAATGTGTCAAAGCACACATTCATTAAGCATACAATGCTAGCAGTCATTATGCTCCTTAAAGCGATTTAACTGCAGTTATTAGTGAGCACACAGTTTTGCTGGACAAGGTGTATTGCTCTATAGTAAACACCAGAAGCAGACAGCCTGCCTAGACCTGGGTAAAGCAAACAGTTACTATCTATGCCTCATTAGTACTGTCTCAATCCCTTTCAGTTTGACTTGTTGCTTCTTGTTCCCCTTCTTTCAGGTAATTGTGCTCTCCTCTGTACTCCTGACACCACACAGTGCTGTTGAGTTGTTGTTTGCCTCAGACCATCTCCAGCCTGACGCTCGTATCTGATGGGGGAGGCTGTGGAGAAGATGAGTGCCTTGCCTGGAAACATCAAATCCCTGCTCTGTCACTCTTCTCAATAGCCCTCCAAAAACTGATGTGTCAACTGCTGCAATTCCAGCTCCAGGTGAACCAGCTGGTATCTGGCTGCAGCTCATGGGCAGCTCTTCAAAATGGTCCCGTTGTCCGACCAAACCTCCCCTCCTTGACGATAGCACTGTGCAGTGCTGCATCACTCCCAGCCTCACTCAGCATGGTGAGGGTGGTTGTTTGTAATAATTCCCTAGCAAAGGAGCAGCTGAGAGCCAGGTGATGCATAATTTGCATTCCCCAAGCAGAATAATTTCTTCTGATGGTTTTGCTGGGCTTGCTGGTGGGAAATGCTGCTGAGGGAGTGAGAGGCTAGCAAAATCCACCCTCTGTCATGCAACCTTGCAAAATGTATGCCTTATGTTAACAGCCTCTGCTCTTACTTTGTCCCTCACTCCAGAGAGATGATGGAACACAGCCCTGATTTAGCTGGCACAGCAGCTCCCAGCCTGGCGATGCTCTTTCAGCAGGACTGGTAGAGGCAGGGAAGCAGAGCCAGATTCAAGGGCTGGGTTACATGGCTGCTTCCCTCTCAGCTTTCCATTTCCTGCTCTAGTTTCTCCACCCACAGTCCCAGAAGAAAAGACAGTTTCTGATGGCACACATCTCTGTAGATTTACGCAGGAGGCCATATGGGCTGTGATAGTTTGATGATAACCCCAAAAGAATCCTCTCCTCACATGCATTTAAAAAAGAAAGAAAAAAAAAAAAAAAGGGCATGATCCCATTTTCAAGAGGCCACAGCATAGATTCTTTTTTGAGCTAGATTTCTGAAGAGCATGATTAGAAAACAGCTTTTATTTTTAATTTATTATCATGAAATAGCTGCAATCAAATTCAGTTATGTAATTTTTCTTTATAAAACTTTGCTAAAAATCTGTGATGAAAGAGCAGCAACCAATAGAGATTTTAATTGCATATAGCACTGAGATTTCCAAATTGCAACATAAAATGGTGGAGCTCTGAAGCTGCATCCTCTTACTTCATCCAAGTAATGCTACAACTACAGCTTACGCTGAGATGAGAATGTGAAATTAAGTGACATTCACTCTACCATAGCATTCTTTATTATGCCAAAGGAGTAGATTAAATGGGAAGTAGTTTTTTAAATTTTGTTCACTAGCTAGCATTAGTTCTCCTAAATGTTTATAATGGTCTTCAGAAAAGGGTGCATTTTGGTTTAAGTTCGATTTGAGTGGCTGGAAGGAAACAATGGACTGCTTTTAAAGCATGGACAATGTCGCCTCTATGGAGGACAAATTTATGAGAATGACTATAGAATGGAACTTTGTGCTATAAAAAATGAGAAATGCTATGAGATTGCAATATTAAAAGCTCAAGGAATAGTTTGAATAGAGCAACTGGAAAGCAAGTAGCTGGTCTCTTGGTTTTTCTGTCATTCTGTACTGTTCAATCTTTCTCAGAATATGGTTATTTCATAAATTCTGTAATCAATAAAGCAATGCTCTCACAATGCCAGCATGATCTGTCTTCTCCTTTTTTCTTAGTATGCAGAGCTACACATGCCAGAAGTGCATATTCCTGCAGTTCCTTTTACTTTTGCATTATTTGACTGCCCCTAGGAATAGGGGACCATCTATCTTGGTCCTAGAGCATTTCCTAAACTCTGCTTATAGCAGAACAGCTTGCCTGTGTTCAGTGGCCATTGCTGAGCTCAGGTACTCACACCTCCAAGATGCTGCTGCTTTCCTGAGCTGATGAAGGATGTTTGTGGTCTTCACTCCCTCACCTCTCTTCATCAAACACCCTCAGGTCTCTGACCTGGCCATCTAAAGACCTACTGTATTGAGAAGGCAGGGGTGAGTCTAAGCAGCCACCCGTGATCTTGCACTTCCTCTGGGTCAAGTAGCTCCTTTGGCTGAGACAGACACTAGCTTTCCAGGCCCACACACACTTTGGAGGAATCTTCTCAGCCTGTGGGGCCACAGCTGTGGTAATTGATGCTACTTATGGACCAAAAGTACCATGGAGTCTTTCCAGTGGCCCTAGTGCAATAGTAAGCTTATTTGTAGGAAATAGCTGTAGCAGCTACATGGACCCGTGCTTGGGGAAAAGGTCAAGGGATGAGGGATCTCCTGCAGTCCCATGTGAGTAGAAACAGTACAGAAGAAAGTTGCATTGGCAAGCGCAAGACCATATCAGAGTGTCCAAGTCCTCTGCCAGCAACACCAAGCAATACTCAGAAGGGAAAAAGAAAACATAAAGCTACTCTTGGGAAATTGATTTACTTCTCTATTAATAAGCTAAGCACTATGTGGTATAAGCTCAGAGGAAGGGGAAACTCAGTTTTGTTTGCAACTCCAATCCTAAATCACTTGACTAGTAACTCGTGCTCCAAAAGATTATCATCTCTGGGACCCTGTCAGAGTTTCCTTGCATCACTTAGTGCAGCTGTGTGCTAACAAGGTGAGCCTGTACAGCCATCAGCCTAGTACCAGCACAAACACCCTCCTCAGGAAGGCTTTTAGTAAAGCTACTTTAAACATGAAAAAGGTAGTCAAAGACTTGCAATTGAATTAAGTTCTTCATAGTGATATAGCTCTCAAAACATAAATATTTTTTAAAGAAAGCTGCAGTCACATAGAGTTCATGTTCTTCCAAATTTTGACCTACCTCAGGCTATTCCTTTCTCACTAAAGACCAAAGTATTTTTCACAAGTGGAAATGAAGAATCCCATTTTAATTTGAAAGGTCTTTGCCTTATTCAGTTCCTCTCCTACAAGAATTTCTTAAAAGGAAGTTGTAAAGCACTGTGAGAGCAAAACCCCTGTGGTTTATGCTAATAAAGCAAGAGCATAGGCAGGAAAGGACACCTTGCTGTTTCTGCAGTATATGTTAACTACCTTAAGAAAGCTATTACTTTGTCTCAACATTTCACTGGTTGTTACTCCTTGTTTCTCACCCTCAAAGAACACACAAGGAAACATGCAATTCAAAAAATTTAATGTTGTAACCAGGCAGTAAGAATGAAAAGTCCACTCCGTAGGAGGAGTAACTGTACACAAAATAAATAAGTTACAGTTTAAACAAAAGCACGACTGGCTTTTTAAAGTGCATGTGTATAAGGTCCTTAGGCTCTGAACTCCATTGGTTCAATATTAAAAAACAAAAAAAGTATTTCTATAAAATCTGCCATATGTTTAAGAATGAAGAGGGTCTGGCTCAGCTCAGAACAAGGCATCAGCTTCATTGCCTGGAGCCAGCCACACTTCACACCTTTTGCTCTTTTTGCACCTACTGCACACAGGAGAGAGAGAGAGAAAAAAGGAGGTCTTAAAGGGCATCTGTATTAGACTATCACTCCACACACATTCCTCAGAAGCTCCATGTCAGATCATTTAGTCTGTAAAGTACATTTTAAAACAGTAGAAGAGTTGTTTGTAATTAGACATGTTTACACCCTGTGGACAATAGCTTTGCATACAAAGAGTAAGGTCAAGTTGTCAGCAATAACACAGCTAGTAAAAAATAAAGACCATTGTTTACAGTCTTGATCAGTCCTGTCCACTTATTTTACACTTATTTTACACAGAACCATTTGATGTTTGCTTATTTGTTTTGAAATACACAGAAAAAAACAGTTCTACTGTGCAATAAAATTAAACAGTTGCATCATGCTGTCCTTCATCCAAGTGAGAACAAAACTCAAGCAGTTACTTCTGAACAGGGACCTGCAGTTCAGGGCATTTCCCTGCTCAAGTTGAGTTACAGCAAAAAGGTTGTTTCTGCACAAATGAAAGCCAAATCTGTCCAACTGGGGAAAAGGTAAATTGTTTCATTTACTGAAAAGTTCCCTTTCCAAATGAAAATATCTGTTCAGCAAGTTGCATCCTAGAACTTTTTCAGGAGGTTTTAGGAATTTTTTTTCCTTTTCTAATCTGAAACTGTTCCTTTTTTAAGCAACTGCTTAAAGACTTCTACCATGCAAAAGGCTACTCAAACCATCCTCCTTTCACAATACCTTGGATTCTACATGTGCCAGTGTTAAACACCCCAGGTTTCAATCTCAAGCTAAACATTGGGTAGACCAAAGGCTGTGCTGTCAAACAGAAGTGACAGTCCTCACTTTGGCAGACAAAGCTTGCTTAAACCTCCTCTTCAGATCCTGCATGTTGGGTGATTTTGGCCGTGGAATAAGAGAGGTTCTCCTCCTCTCAGGGGGGCTGGTTATTTGTTGTTTATTGACTTCTTTACAGAGGAGATGGAAGGCATTGAAGACGTTATTATAGTTTTCACTGACAGATACTTCATAGAAAGTACAGCCCAGCATATTGGCCAGCTGAAGTCCCTGCTGAGGCTCCACCTCTTTGATATGCAAGAGATCAGCTTTGTTTGCCACAATGACCACAGGGACCATGTTCCCTGGATGCAGCTGTCGAACGTGATGGTAAAGGTGACTGAGTAGTTCAAAGCTCTTATAGTCAGTGATGGAGAAGACAATCACCAGGGCATCTGCCCAGCGAATGCATCTGTTCAGCTGCTCATTACAATCCAGACTGTGTTCATGGATCTGAAAAATGAACGGTCTCAAATTAGAAGTCACAAAATATTAAAGGAACCTGTCTTCAGGACTCCGTAAAGCCAAATAGCATTTTACAGCTTCAGACATATATTTGGATTTCACATGGTAAGTATGAACTTAATCTGAGCATAGCGAATAAATGCAGATGTTGATTCAGCTGCAAAAAGCTGGAATTGAACACTGGAGTTTGCTATACTCAAATGGAAAATTGACCTGAGTAGTTCTGCATGCAGAGAAAGACTTTGTAGTTCCACAGAATGGGAAATTAACTGGCTAGACAGTAAGTCTGGGGAAGCAAAGATATGAGCTGGAAGCATTTAGACCTGGAGCGTTGCCCAGTTCAGAAAGGCAACAGTCCAGCATTACTCAAGTCTATACATTCAAAACCTCAACTTGTGACACACTAATGAGCACAGCCACAATGTAGCAGACTTCACTTTGTCATACACATTTATGAAGCTTGTTGGGCAGTGGTCATGACATTTATTTTCTCATATGCAATATTTCACATATTTGAATTGTTTGAATTGTTTCTGGGTTTGTGCCTAATGTTCCCAATATACAGGAAGGAGGCACTTCAGTAATTCAGCCACTCAGAAGTAACGGGCCTCCAATGAACAAATGATTCATTGAAACAGTCTCTCAACACAGCTGGCTTGACTGGTTAAAACACAAGTTACCACCTCTCCCACAAAGAACACCAAACTCTGAAACACACAGCAAAATATTTTACGGAAAGACCATAACAAGACGCTGCACAGAGGGATGCAAGCACGCAAACATTCAGAGCTACTCTGGTAGCATGGTTGCATCTAGCTCACCTGAACTCCTGGAGTATCTTGCACTTGAATGGCCAACATCTCTCCATCAACCTGGATGTGCCTGCTGTAGAGATTACCTGACAAAACACCAACAGGTTCTCAAGTACAGTCACCACTCTTTGCAAACAAACATTGCTGCTGCTGCAGACCAGTTGTGTAGGGAAAGTCATATTGCCACTTATGAAGCAATAAACCAGTGTTTTCAGCTTTTTGGGTGTTAACAATATTTATGATATTATTAGAAACCTGGGATTAAATCATGAATTGACTTGTATTGAAGCTGGGCATTAAATGGTAGGCAACTTGGAACTTTTAACACTCTTAAAGACTGTCTTATCTTGAATGATAAAGGTAAGAGTGCAAAATAAGCTTCCATTACATAGAAAAGCAGTTTTCTTGTCATTTACTATTTCCACAATTTAGTGAAGCTCCCTTTTTAAAGTTTTCTTCCAAATTTGCCCTAAACTAAGACAAATACATTTTCTGGCTCCCTGTTGGCTGGCCTGTAAGATTTTCTGGGTTGGTTGTTGGTTCTTTTCATATTTTTGGCTTTCTTGAGTAATTTCCTCAACAGAAGGCTGAATATTTTAAGCCAGCATTAGTTCAGACTCTGCACTGTACTCACAGAATGATGTATGTAGCATCACCGCTCCATTTTGCCCTTTAAACTGGACCTGCCTAGCCCACGCAGCTGCTGGTACTCAGTTTGCACAGAATACAACAGTAGGTTTACAGAATGCTTTCTTGTTTTAGCTAAAAGACTCCTTCAAAAAAGGGGTACTTTCACCACATAAAGCAAATTCTGTCAGAGACCTGCAGCACAACCCATCCCTAGAGCTGCTGCCACCACAAACCGCCTGTGGCTGTGCCTGGCGTGCCCCTTTCCGAGGGCTGCGAGCAGACCGGGGAGGGAAGCGGCTCTCGGGGCGCCGGCAGCCGCGGAACCCTGGGAATTCCCTGGGGGATTCGGGCCGCGGGCAGCACCCGCCGAGCGCCCTGCGGTCCCGGGAGCAGCGAGCTCTTCCCTCCCCACCTGTGCCTGGCTCGGCGCTGGGGCTTGCAGGCTCTCTCGGGGCTGGCACCCCGCGCCCCCCAGCCCAGGCACTCAGGGGAGGCACCGC